GCATAAAAGGCCAACTTTATTTTTTCCTTATAACGAATTGTTTCCCAACGTCCAGCAGTTCAATACATTATAAGACTTTAAAAGGTCAGGGAAAACGTAAAACCGCTGATTAAATGACGTTATCAAGGTCAACAAAGTTAAGTGAATAAAGCATTCAAGGGGGACAATCTGTCATCCAAATCTCCACCTTCCTTTGAGCTTAGAACCACCAAAGATTTATTTAATTTAGACAGAAAAGAGGTTCATTGGGTTTAAGGCAGGGTTCGGCAAATTTAAACATTATATTTATTGGATCAGTACAATATTTGGTTTCACTCTGATTACAACTAAATGTGACTTTTTAAACACGACCAACATATTTAGAGTAAAATAATAAAATATTTTCATTATTTGCATTGTTTTACTGTGCATATGGATTATTAACACTGAACAATTTAAACATAAGGCTGGGCAAATGCGAGTGGCTCCTCCAAAACCATCAGGTGCCTCAAGATATGTCAGCTGATTTTTATGAGAGCCAGATGCTGTCGTCAATGAAGCCAGGTTGTTTGTGAAAATTATCTTTCAAATGAGCTGAACATGTTAAGTGCTACTGTGTATTGTTGCCACTGATCGAGTTTGTTGGATGAGGCTGATGCATTGGCCTGACTCACTGGTCAACCTCTTATTGGTACAAGAATATTAACACCTTGTAAACAACCGTAAACTATTTCCATGTCAGCTTCAAAACATGCCCTCTGTTCATGTTTATCTGAACTCTATCTCAAATTCATTCTACTGCTATATTCCCCTGGTGATTCTTCTAAGATCTCTGTGAATTTGGCTGCGCTGCTGCAAATCGATTGGCTGACCCCCTCACCCTGGCCCTGCTGGATCCTGACTGATATAAAAGAACTGGCTAACTCCCAGCTCCCTGTATTTCCTCCCTTCAAGTTTGGAGCGGTCTGTTGGATTGGTCTTGGGAGTCTTTTGAAGCTGCCACACAGCAGATGAAGTACTTTCCCGTTTCCTTGTAGTGCCGATTGGGGGATAGTCCAAAACATGTTCTCGTACTGAAGAAGGCTTGATTTTTTTAAGAGTCAAAGGTAGACACTTGTGTTAAAACCTGCAGTGGTCTGGGTTTACCTCGATGTCTTTTTGTACCTGTTATTACAGTGTTAAATTTCAACATAAAGTTAGGATACTTCACAAACAAAAACAGCTGATTTGTTTTTGGATGATCTGTCTGTATCCAGGGATTGTTATTAAAGGCCCTCTACCTTTAATAACTCCCTGTGCTTTTCTAGAAGGTCATGTTTTGACTTAATGTAAAAATTCTATTAAAACACTGCTCTTTAACTTGAAACGACCCCATTACTTGCTCTGTTGAAAAGCACACTCTCAAATGAATTAGTTAATTGGAAAAATGTCCACACTAGAATTCATGGTATACTGGAGGACTGGTAGATATACTGTAACTTCAGTCTAGTGTGTGTGCAGGTTTGTGTGTGGGTGTGTGTGTGCAGGTGTGTGTGTGTGTGTGCGTGTGTATGTCAGCAGGGGAAATCCACTCATCTCTCATATTGAATGTGTGATGATGGCTGTACTACACTAATCTGTTAAAAGCTGTTGCATCTAATTTTCAAAACTATAGAGGTGTCCCTCATCCCAGATCCTCCAAGTAAAGGCTTCTAGTATCAGGATTTCCAAGACTGTTACAGCGTATGCATTTGTAGCTGGTGATTTTCAAATTTAGAAAAAATAAAACTAAAACAAACTCTACACCTCCCCATGCTGTAGCATGAGAGAAAAGGCAGGTTGATGGTATTATTAACTCTTGATACTTTCACAATATATTTTCTACTGGAGATTCTAAAACATGACCCACAGTAACAGTAAGTTAATAGTAAATACTATCATAAAAATTTGGAATGGCCAACGATAATACTATTTTCTAATACGCCTTCAAAAATCTTGTTTGTGTTTGTGATCATGATATTAAAATTGTGCATTCGTAGTTTGGCAAGACGCTGTATACAGTATATATTGCTTGTATTGTGTATTCAATGTTTTCGTTGTCCCAACTTTTTAAGATAGAGAGTATGGTCTAAGAGACACATGCTGAATTGGCAGTTGAAGAAATAGACCCGTTCATTAGCCTAATGTATGACTGTGGGAAAAAACACTTTTCATAGAGTATTTTCATGATTTATTAATGTGAAAGTGTGTGTGTGGTGTTATTCCACTGATTTAGTGGTTGGCACCGAGTGCTTTTCCTCATCGTTTGGTGATTTATGATGATTGCAAAAATGTGAAATTGAGTATAAGAGTATAAGCGTATTACCTTATGATAATATAAGTAATTGAAGAGATTTAAGACTTTGGAAAAGCCAAGAGGGCATTCATATTGTGAGAGAGAAAATAGATGTGGTCCCCAAGATAAGCAGAGGTGACACATTGGTAAATATGGATTTTGTGCCCTCTGCCTTCTTATTGTTTTCTTCTTGAATTATTAGATGACATATCTGAGGATATGAGGTGTAGGTGTTATGAGATTTCATATTATTTAGGTAAAACAGTTTGAAAAATTATATTGTGTTTGAATCTCTGCATGACAGGTGGTTGGGAAATATGCCAAACCTCTGCCTATGAAAAATCCATAAAGTGCTTATTCCCTTCATCCGTCCTCTTAATCTTGAGAGGGGGCAGATATGAGTAAAAAGTCTCTCTTAAATGAATTTGGTTCCCGTGGTTGGGGCCGTTGTATTGCAGAAGGAGCCGCAGCGCTGCTTTCAATCAGCCTGGGCTTCATTAGGACACTCGTTAAGTCCTCTCACTGAGCCCCATGGCTCTTACCACTTTGATTGTTAATGGCTTTTGGTTAATGAGAGTATGGAACCCAGCTCTCCAGGTGGTCCTGACCAGCCTGTTGGGTCAATTGGCCCCGGATGATCTCCAGGCCGAGATGTGAGGGAAGAGCGAAGAATGTAAACACTTGAGGTGGATGTCTTCATCTGCAAAGTTGATTAAAGTGAACTTTGAGACAAGAACACCTACCCATTTTCAAATCTTGGTAAGGGGCCGAGATTGAATTACATCTGAAAAGCAGTGGGTAGTGAATGTACTAATACAACTGGAACTGTTATCCATTTTTTTCATGTTTGTCAAAACAGAAAACAAAGGGCAGGAAGGTCTTGATGATGCTATCAGGACCTTCTGGCACAAACGGATGGATGGATGGAGCGATAAACAACTCCATGTTAGATTGTGTGACATTAAAAGATCAATCGTTGTATATATCCTGGTGCCCTGTAAAGCTCTTTGAATGACATCAGCAGTGTATCCTAAAGCTCTGATAGAATTAACCTTATAGCATGTTTTTTAAAGGGTCAATTAAACCAAAAAGAACAGATTTTGTGTGCGTAGGATAATCATTTGGAATTCTAGGTTGGGATGTAGTATATAAAATAGTCCAATTGATTGATATGCAAACGACTACACTCAAGGGCATTGGACTATGTTAAAGCCATTATGCGTTTCTTACGGCTAAACCCTGAGGGATAAGGAAAATCTAAAGTTGGTGTTCAATTCAAGGAAAGCAGAAAACTGTACTTAGCTCTACAGCTATTTAGAATTAAATGCTCTAATAAATGCTTTCATTAACATGCAAATGAAAGTTGTGCCTCCAAAGCAGTTTAAGACATTTTGCTTGGAGCTGACCACAGCCACTTTGCTTATGTAAATGTAAGGCTTATAAGGCCTCTGTTATTTGGAGAGTTCTTGTGGCATGTTTCCAACATTATTTTATATGAATCCTACATGTAGTCTACTTTAAATACTTTTCTCGCCTTGGAGGTATAGTGGGTCTGTTTGTGGTGAACAACTGATTTTATTTAGTAGGTGATCAGAATCACCCATGATCATGATCCAGAAGCATCCCTTTAGGCAGAGGTCTGCACTCCACTGGTGCTCTCTCTTAATTAGATGTATCTTGATTTTTTTTGTTTGTTAATGTTTACTCTATTTTATCTTCCGACATGTTAGAAGAGTAAATAATTATGGATGTTTTTCTCATTGAAAATAACCTTTTGAACTTCAGATTATTTACCCCCTGGATGTCCTATTATTTTCCCTTTTGAAAAATAAAGTAAAGTAATATTCCTCTCCACTATCCATTCTCATTTCATTATAGCAAATGTACTTAGCTGTTGCCATGCAACAATGCTCCCTCAGTTAAAGGCACCCCAGTTTCTAGTCGCAATGTCACATTTGTTTCAAGCGGGGCTAATTTAGGAGTCTTTTTTGGGGGACTCTATTGCCATTCGCTTCACGTCAGTGTGGGGTAATGAGATTGAATCTTGATGCGGTGAATGCGCCCGCTGCAGTCTCCTGTCTGAGGACACTGAGTCTCTGATATTAGCCCTCCCTGCATGAGAGGACACGGAGCGCTCTGCTACTCCGCTGTCCCACCAGGCACTCATCCAATAAGACTCGACATAGACCTGGATCGATAAAGCATGTCCCAGCCTCCTGCACCCTCTGCTCTCCCTCATACACACCTATTAGTTACGGAATAATTGATTGGCCCGCTGTTCGTTGTACCTGTGATTTTGTCCTTTCATTATAACACCACCCGCAGTTTATGCAGGCAGGCAAATGACTTCTCATATTTGACTGCTGAAAAGTGAAAGGCTTTGGAGTGAGGTGAGGACCATGTGTTCTCGACATAATGGAGATTAGAAAGATCACACTTCGTAGCACTAACGCTTCAGGAACAGCCAGTCACAATGAGAGAAAGTGTGTGAGGCGATGAGGCATTGTGCGTTCTTCTTTTGTGTGTTTTCTGTTTAAATTCATTATGTTCTGGCTGCACGAGGAGGATAATCTGCTTGTTTTGTCTCCACAGCTCATCTCAAAGCACATATCTAACCATGCTTTCTGTTGTTTGCTCTCCTCTCTCTATGTTTCTCTGCGCTTTCCTCGTCCCGTCGGCTGTGGTCCCTGCTCCATTGCTTCCACAGTTGCACACCGACATGGACAGGAATGATGGACGCACTAAATATGTGCTGAGAGGCGAGGGGGCGGGCTCTGTCTTTGTGATTGACGAGAAGACGGGCAACATCCACGTGACCAAACCGCTGGACCGAGAGGAGAAGGACGAGTACCGCCTCATCGCCACGGCAACGGACAGACAGACGGAGCGCCCCCTGGAGCCCTCGTCCCAGTTCATCATCCGGGTGCAGGACATCAACGACAACCCGCCACTCTTTGATCAGGGCCCTTACATCGCCACGGTACCCGAGATGGAAAATATAGGTGAGACATAAGTCGGTCGCATGAATTAAACATGAGGAATTGTCTTTGAGCAGTGGCAACAAACTCAGATGACAGAACGGAATATATGCCTCTAGATTAAGATCAAGAAATCCTTTATTTGTCCCACAGTGGGGAAATTTCAGTGTTGCATCACCAGTTACAGAACAGTAGGAATGAGTAGCACAAGATAAATGAACAATAACAGCTCCATACTAAATAGAATAAAATAAAACACATCTAACTAAGAAGTAAAAATAAATTCTTTATCTTTAGCAAAATGAGATTTTATACATGTTTCTTCTTCTTTTGTATAGTTTAAACGTACATGTCATAATTATGCAGTTTCCAAAGGGTTGCATGGAAAGGCAGAAACACAAGGATAAGATATAATACCATTTGATTTTTACAATACCCATGTTGTGTTGAGGTTATAAATATTTCATACCTTGCAAGTGAAAGCCTGATCCCGGCAGACCTTAAAAGCTAAGCAGGACAGGGCCTGGCTATTTCTGTGAAGGGAGACCTCGGGAAACATGAGGTGTCACTGTCCGGGGGCTGCGGATCTAAAGTTCCCAAGGGTCATTGTTTCCCTCACCTATATACGTGGGTTTGTGTGTGTATAAATTATTGGTAGACTACAGTAGTACTTTGAAAACCAATGCTTTGTTCTCATTCAACTCACAGAAATGAAAAAGGCCACTTCCAGTAAAACATATTCTAAAATTCGTACATGATAAAAAGTTAAAAGGGAAACTATTGAACTAGCCATTAAAAAGGTTCTAGTTTTGTGGTGCACCCCGAGTATAAGCTTAAATGAACTCCTCACAGCCATCTGCCTTCTGAGTTGACTCAAAGCAGTGACTGAGCTGTTCCCTGATCTCTGCGGAGAGCAACACGGACCCTCTGTTGTCACAGTTTGACCAAGTAACCTTTACACACAACTCCACAGGAAGCTGCACAATGCAACATTCATGAACACAAGCCCAGGCCTGTATCACTGAAGCAATCACTGTTACAATATCTTTGGACAACAATGTGCCTTCAGTGAGAGCTGTGTCTACTGTCTAGTCCTCTAATCAGACTCAAGTACCAGCAGCAGTCAGCCCTGTCAGAGCCCCATGATGAATGCCCTGCTCATGTACTGCTTTACTTTCTATTGCACAGGGACACATTGTCTGCAAACACAATGAGAAATATTCTTTTTTTCAATATTTAAGATGATACAATGTGAAGGCTGTGCCACAAAGACACGCAAAGACCTGATCCACACAAGAAATATAATGGCTAAATAATACCATAATTTATTACTATTTCATAATTTTGACCCAACAAAAGATAAATGTGGGTCGACAGTAGCTCAGTTGCTAGAGCATTTGGGCCTGAAGGTTTTGAGTTCGAGTCCACCATTAGACTTCACAACTCCCATGTCAGCTGTCATTGTGTCCTTGGGCAAGACACTTAACTTGGGTAAGACTTGAAGCCTGAAGCCCCCGCTGAAAGATCAAGGCTCCTGTGGACTCACCACCTGCAGGAGGATCAGTGAGGGGCTGGTGCTCTGTGTACTGGGTGCAGCTCTGACTGCCACCCACCCGACCCATTTCTGGGTCGGGTGGGTGTCTACATAGAGTAAACTTTGCAAATATCTGGTCACTTTTATGTCTTTTATTTTAAAGTAGCCTAGCGATACCCTTCTGTGTGCACTCAAATCATTTCCAACAGCCAAAAACCCTGGCCAAAAGGACACACTATTTGACAAACAGAGGTTTGAATTTATTGGAATTTATTGTTGGGTCTAATTCTGAAACAATATTGTGTTTCATAGACTGAAGTACTTTCTGCTGCAATAACTTGTAGTAGTTGTAACTCTTTCAATTAAACAATCATATTAACTTATTCAAGTTCATGAATTTAAAATGCTTTTGGATTGGATTACTTTGTCTTTCCATTGCACATGTAGTAAATGCTACAGTCTGAACTTTGTTCACCAAAATATGTTACATTTTGTACTGTAATGCAACTTAAATTCTTATTTTGATTCTTATTATTCCATGTCTTATTCCAAGTGTTTTTCTCTCTGATTAAATGCTTACCATCAGATAACTGCAGCTTTTTGCACTAAAACGTGAAAGCTGCATATTATGGACTTGTGTATTTTGACAGCTCCAGCACCTCAGCCATCACATTCTCGCCTGTTACTGCCTGGATGCCTTTCGCACTCAATTACCATTTTGTGCACAGACTTTTTAGGCGAAATGAATTTTTAAATGGCGGTAAAATCCTACTGGGCTCTGAGTGCTTTTTTCTGCTATTATACACAAACATTGATGTCAAACCCATGCTGCAGTTATTTACAGGGTAATCGGGGATAGACTCAAATATCAAAACATCCAATTCAAAGCCTCCATTTTCACACTTTTAGATCCACTCTTCTCCAGAACACCAGCAGTTTGGCAGATACTTTTGCCATTTTGTTTGATAGATTTTTTAAAGATCTTGGTGCAACATTTAAGTGACAACAATCCTACCTTCCTCTAAATCTCTATATGTATCACGAAGTAAGGACGATATATGTGACTGTTTTTGATGTCAATGGTATTTACTGAAATAGAACCCCTGGTGGACCAAATTTGGCCCTGTGGGTGGGGGTTCTATATCAGCTCACAAGGGGCTGCTGACTTTTGTCATTATTTTCAGTACAAAGACTGAATGACAGGAGCACACATCACTTTTTTAAAAAGGGGTGATAATTGACACTAACTAGACATAGATGTGTTTGCAGATTAACTTTTTCCCTGAAAAACATTGTTGGCAAAGTGTGGGTTCTCAAATGTTTTCCCTCTTTAACCTTAATTTCACTTGATGATCATGTTCATTCGATTCACTTAGGGGACAATATTTTAGATTACACCTACATCTGTTCCAGATAATCAGAGCACAAGTGGAGTACTTTTATTGATTAGAAAAAGAATGATGGCCATAATAAGCATGAATATGATTTCTCATATTAGAGAATGAGGCTTTCATTTTATTTTGTCATGTGAAATTTAGCTGGTAGCTAGAGTTTGTACTGTTTCTAGCATCAGTACTAGTACTAGTAATCAGTACTGACATGTGTAGTTACATGTGTCACCAGCAGGAAGATTCTGACAGCAAAAGTTGGACTGTTATTGGAATGACTTTATTAGACCACAAAGAGAGTAATTATAGACGGCCCACGTAAATATTATGATCTAAAACAAAAACAAATCAACACTCTGTTGAATACCACAACCGCATAATGATGCGTGTCCATATTGTTTGTTATTAAAGAAACTATACCTGATCTATTATCTAATGAGTTCATCAAAATGCCTAAATCTGTGGTTTAATTGAAAACTTGAGCTCATTGATTCAACTTTTGTATAAATTCAGGCCATAAAAAGTTCTGAGTAGAAACTTTGCGTGATGTTAGTTCTCCTCCATTTGCAGAACAAGGAGCGGCGCTGTTGCGAACAGGCCACGCCTCCTCTAGCGTCTGCAGCGCAGGTAAACAGAAACATACTGTAGCTGCTGAGAGTAGCTATACCTGCTCTGCAGACACAGAAGAAACAGCCCAAAAGGCACAAAGGTGAAGAGGAGAAGAGGGAACTAAAGCAAATAAAGATCAAATAAGAAATCAAGCCCCGGTGAATATATGTAGCTTACATTGTATCCTCTGGAGAGACCTGTGGGAGCGGGACTGCCTCGGACGGGAAACTAGCAGTAATCTTTCAGTTATTCTACTGTATATTTTGATAGCAGTTCTTTGCTTGTGTACCATTTCATCAGTGATTGTTGTACAGCTTACAAGAAGTTGTGCTATTGCTAATGTTTGCATACGTACAGTATCAGATTGCTAATAAAACTAGATGGCTCTGTGGGAGGAGAGCGTAGAGGAGAATAGGAGGCTTACTCCAAATGAGAAGCCTGTGAGCGAGTTGGGGGGGCGGTGCTAAACATTCAAATTGAAAAAAAAAAACCACCTTGAAACGGGGTAGTAAGTAGTAAGTAAGTAAGTAAGTAAGTTTTTATTTATATACCGCCTTTTCACTGCAGATCTGAGTCTCAAAGCGGTTTACAATTGTTAATTATGGGCACTTGTCTCTCACTCCACACAGAGATGGGAGCGGGGTCGCCAGTACAGGAGGCACATGCCAGAACTATTGGACATATTTTTAGTGGTAGGGGAAACCGGAGTACCCGAGGAAACCTACGTAGACACGGGGAGAACATGCAAACTCCACTCAGAAAGGCCCTGGTCCGGCCGGGATTTGAACCCAGGACCTTCTTGCTGAGAGGCGAGAGTGCTATCCACTCAGCCACCGTGCCGCCCACCTATAGCTCGGGTAGCTCCTTTAAGACCAGGACAGCATTGAACTGAGCTGAGTCCTGGCCTGGTGTCCGTTTCACATACATAAGTGAACTCCTGGATTCCTGGATGCACACTCACAAAAAGAATATCATATAGAAAATCGCTCATAGTCAAGGACATGTCCTGTCTTCAATAAGGAAACCTGCTGCACAAAGGCTTCATATTGTTACTTAACTGTGGGGCATTTGTCATCTGCAAATGCTTGGAATTTCTTACACTGACATTTACCATCTTACATCTTATCAAACTGTATTAAGTGCATGGAAAATTACATTAAATCATACAATTATGTTGCAAGCCTTGATTTAATAATTTCTGTATAATTTATCCACCGTGTCCATTTCTAGCTTGGACTATTTCCTCTGAGGTAGCCAAAGCCAATAAATAAATAAGCGTATAGGCATCTAATTTATTTCAAGATTAATATTATTTTCCTATTAATGTGTCTTATGAGCCGACTGCGGATTCTTTATCGCTTCATCCATTTTCTAAGAAAGATTCCAAAATGTTTCCTCCTCATCATTTAAGCCTCAGGGCTGGATCATGTAGTCGACCACATCCAAATAAAATAAAAATAAAATCATCAAAATGAAATACTAATGGTTTCAAA